ATGTACTATTTAGCAGTTTAGCAGCAAAACAATTAGAATGTTTACAATTGCTATACCAGGTACCTGAAACAGATAAAAACTATAAATCACTTGAGATATCTCCTTTAGAGAAAGTTATTTTATACAGCCCCGCTAGTAAAGGTATTATATCCTTATGTTACTTATCTCATAATGCCAAGCCCTTAGTTAAATTAAAACATATGCTGTCATGGGAGACGGAGTTGGGTGCCCAGTACGATTTAGTAGAATGGTTCGGTTTCTTTACAGGTTTAAAAGCAGTTTCGTATTGCACAGACCATTTGATTTGATCATTATAAAATCTTATATCGCTGGTATTAGAAAATGAACAATATGTATTCTGACCCGCAAATGGCTCATACTTATTATTAGTCCACGATCTGATTATTAAAGTGAAATACCTTAGCCTTATTTAAAATCCATCATAGGCCACATTCTGATCGCTGCTACATCCTGTTTACCTAGACATTGGAAGTCCCAAAATGTGCCATCTCTCAGAGAAGTTTTTAATTTGATTTTAGAAAATAAGGCACATGAACTATCACACAGAGCCAATATGCATGGTTTCCCAATACTAAAATACAACTGGGATAAATGGGAAGAAAAAATCAAAACAGTTTATGGTCTTTGATATATTTATTGTTAAAGTGCATTGTTGTAAAACATTTTTCCTTTTGCCTTATACTTTAATATGTTTATTTCATTGATGGATGGATACCCCTTCCCATTTCCATGTTACCCCTCCTTTCCTACCCCTAATACAATGTTTGTATTATTATCATTTGTTATACAAAAAAAAAAACTTTAATAAAAATTATTTGAAAAGAATGTTTACAATTGCGCTGTAACTGCGGTATTTGACGCTTCTATTTGACTCTCAGATATGAAGTGCAGGCTGCAAATGTACTATTTAGCAGATTAGCACCCAGAAAATTAGAATTTTTACAACTGCGCTGTAAGCACACTATTAGACACTTCTATTTGACTCTCAGATATGAAGAGCAGGCCACAAAATGTACTATTTAGCAGATTAGCAGCAAAACAATTAGAATGTTTACAACTGCGCAGTAAGCACATTATTAGACGCTTTGATTTGACTCTCAGATATGAAGTGAACACCCAAAATATACTATTTAGTACCAAAAAAATAAATAAATTACTTTTTAAAACTGCAATGTAAGCAGCAGATTAGCAGCAAAACAATTAGAATGTTTACAATTGCGCTGTAACCGCAGTATTTGACGCTTCTGTTTGAGTTTCAGATATGAAGTGCAGGCCGCAAAATGTACTATTTAGCAGATTAGCACCAAGAAAATTAGAATTTTTACACCTGCGCTGTAAACACACTATTAGACGCTTCTATTTTTACTCTCAGATATGAAAAGCACGCCCAAAATGTACTATTTAGCAGTTTAGCAGCAAAACAATTAGAATGTTACAACTGCACCGTAAGCACACTATTAGACGCTTCGATTTGACTCTCAGATATGAAGTGAACACCCCAAATATACTATTTGGCACCAAAACAAAAAAATTGACTTTTTAAAACTCCAATGTAAGCAGCAGATTAGCAGCAAAACTATTAGAAAATTAGAATGTTTACAACTACGCAGTAAGCGCACTATTTGACGCTTCTACTTGACTCTCAGATATGAAGTGCACCGCAGGCCGCAAATGTACTATTTAGCAGATTAGCACCCAGAAAATTTGAATGTTTACAACTACGCTGTAAGCACACTATTAGACGCTTCTAATTTGACTCTCAGATATGAAGTGCACCCCACTAAAATACTATTTAGCAGTTTAGCACCCAAAAAGTTTTAGTTTTAAAACTGCAATGTGACGGTCGCAAACAGCTAGCAATAAATTTCTAAAGTGGGCACCCATAGGGGCGCTACACTCTATATCTCCATGGCTATCGTTCGCAAAATGGTCAGAGAAGGGAATCACCCATATCGACACTCTGTGTTCACAAGGGGAAGTGATACCTGTGACGAGACCAATCTCGCCACATTGCATTGGAGAAGCCTGGTTGCTCGTCTGCTGCCTTTGGACTATGGCCCCCTGTTAAAAGACATCTTTTTTACCTGCAGAAAAGCTTAATTCGTGCTTTTCTGCCTGGGGTTCGGTAGATTTGTTTGAATGTGTTATACCCCAGATAGGAATCCCATGGAGCCCATTCATATGAAACTGACTGTAAAGACTTTGGCTCCATGGCGATTAAACTGTATTCGTGTGGTCTGAGCGCCATTCACTTAATAATGTGCGCTCAGACCTGAGCTATCTGGGGATATGTTAAATGTATAGTTTTAATGTAATGTGTCTTACCTGGTGTATTTTAACAGTAATGCTTGTTTTGTGTCCCCATGTGCATAATGGAGTCTTGTCTCTGACATGTCTATGTTTTATGTATAAAATGGGACTTTGTGTATTGTACAGTATTTTAATGCTTGGTGCAAACCATGTGCATAATGGAGTCTTGTCTCTGTCCTGGGAGATAATTTAATTACTTCTCAATTATCTCCTGGGCAGAGGAAAGGAAGCCAGGATGCATTGTGGTAAAAAGGAAGGGGTAATTGGGTTACCTCTCAGGATAAGGGGGAGGGAATCTGTGGGTTGTAACTAATATGTTACTGGATATTTTATACCTCCCTGTGGGCGGTCCTGTATTTGCAAGACTGTAATAAAAACCAGGCTGGGTGTGCCAGCACCTCAGACCACTGCTTGACCCTCAACACGGAGCCTTGTCTCGTTCTTGGGGGGATTCACTGTATGCTGTTAGAGACTGATTGCCAGGAGTGTAAGCTGATTGTCTGTTTTTCCTGTTCGTCTGCTAGCAGCTATTTGGGAGGTTCCAGTTCGGGAGTTGGAGTGCTATTTTGTATCCAGTCCGGGAGTTTGGTGTTCTGCAGTAGCTGTGCCTGCATCTCTGGAAAGGGGGCCGATCGCCTAAACGGTTTTTACCCCTTGTGTGCAAAACGGTCCGTTACAATACCGTTCCCAGAATTACATTTAGCACACGACCTCCCACCATCCTTCATTTTTCCATACATGCAACTTAAGAGCATAATCAAAGAGAGAGACCTGCTCGCACCACAGCTGGCAGATTACTCTAGTAAAGAGAGATTGGCGCTGTATGATAGGTGCCGTAAGGCCCCAGTCAGGGCCCGCTCACTTTCTCTCAGTTATGCAGCCCTAAGACACAATACCACGATGCCTCACTTCTCCTTTATAGCACAGTGGAATAGGGAACAAACCACACGCTTTACTAAAGATCAGTGGTTGAGGTCAATATTAGCGCTAAAAGGTATTACATCCTGCTATTCACATGTAGAAGCACACAAAAAACTGATTTACAGATGGTATCTCACACCGGACAAACTTAATAAAATCTATCCACTATCCTCAGTGAAATGTTGGAGGTGCGAACAGAGCAGAGGTACAATGAGTCACATATGGTGGCACTGCCCGAACATCCAACCGTTATGGACGGAGGTCCAGACGATTTGTAATTCCTTAGGGGCCCTTAGGGGTAAGATCACACCTGAGATAGATCTGTTTCTTCTGCTACCTACGACCACCCCATTCCAGGACAAACAACTAATAATTCTGGTAGTCATGGCAGCGCGTAACCTCCTAGCATATTATTGGAAGCGGAAAGAAAGCCCACCCTCACAGATACTACATAGTAGAATCCGACAATACCTTAGGCATGAGCAATTATCCACAGCTATGACTAAACATGGGAAGGCCACGCAAAATAACTGGCAAAAGTGGATAACCTATGACCCAACGCTAGCACCATAACTAAAATCTTAACCTAGAGTCTGCATCTCGCACATACACGGGTAATCCACACAGAAAGAGGAAGCGATATAGAAAGCCCCACAATACTAAGGGGCAGCACAAGTAGGTAAGACGAAATGCCCAAACTTAGGCGGAAGCAGCCCCACGAGCTAATAAACAGTAATACTCCCTAACCGGAGCCTTTCCTCGATAGTATACTCACCTGTGCCCCTGTACCGTCAGGATCGGAAGGTACTATATTGTATTTGACTTGTAATGTATTATATTTGACGGGTATTATATTATGTTTGATATGTAAATAACCTAACATTAACTACAAGATCAAGCCATGCCAGTTAGGAATTATGTTGTCACTGTAAATTGAAATGTGCCAATGTATGGGTATGTTTACGGTGTGTACCTGTCCCTTACCTTTTCCCCAACTACCCTTCTTCCATTCTGTACCCCAACTTGTCTGAAAAATTCAATAAAAGTACAAATTGAAAAAAACAAAACTGCAATGTGACAGCTGTATTTGACACTTCTGTTTGACTTTCAGATATGAAGTGCATCCCACTAATGTACTATCCCACTAATGTACTATTTAGCACCAAAAAAATTGACTTTTTAAAACTCCGATGTAACCGCGATATTTGAAGTTCTATTTGACTCTCAGATATGAAGTGCACTAATGTACTAGTTTGCAGAATTGTTTCCTAAGCTGTCCCTCACAGTGGCAGCATCCTCTCCCTACACTAATAAGACCTCATGTGCGTGCGACGCTACTCGACTCCAGCTTATATACAGAGGCTGGGTCACATGCTGCACTGGTCAATCACAGCCATGTCATTAGTAGCCTTTCAAATGCGCCATTAAATTGCCGAACATTGATATGTCCGTGTTCGGGTCCGGGGTCCAAAAAACCTAATGTTCGGTACGAACCCGAACTTTACAGTTTGGGTTTGCTCAACTCTACTTATAAGATCTCACCAGTCACCAAAAGATCCTATAATGTACTCAGTCAGAACTCAACAAATGAATGCACTCACGAGATAAGCGCTCACAAGGTGCCTCCCCCGATAATGTGGGGAGCTAGTTATCCCCTTGCCAATGCAAAATAGTCAATGGTACACTGGACTCCAGGTGGATGATGGTCAAAATCGAAATATTTTATTTGTTTAAAAGGTGAAAAACACCATAAATACAAAAGATAAGAATAAAGCGGTAGGTCCAACGCGTTTTGTTCCGGATCTTCTTCAGGGACCGCAATAATAATAAAATCAATATAATTGTAAAATGACATATCCTACCCCCCCTACCCCCCCTTAATACAATAGGGCTAGTCCCTGTGTCCAATTGCCCCATACTGTGGGTGTTTCCAGTCCTCAGGATCTCCATTGGTGCAGGGGCAGCTTCTCTCAGCTGATAATACTTTCGGGTTTCTACTTCAATCAAATTCGTCGCGTTCAGTGAAACCGGAACCAGAAGTGTATGCATTCTCTTACTTCCGCGTTTCAAATGGTTTGTTATTCTGATAACTAATAGTTATTTGAAGGATTTCATGCACTTCCGATTTCGCTATTAAGGACATGACACGCAAGTGGAACGCATCCGGAACGCATTTGAAACACGGACGTAAGAGAATGCATACACTTCCGGTTCCGGTACCTTTGAGCCCTGGCTGGCACCCGGCAATTTATAATACTATGAGCTTGTGTGCAGGGACGAAAATTGTTTTTATATATATATATATACACACACACATATTTAAATTTAATACATAACAGGTAATAAATATAGTCAATCATGACAGGTGCATTATGTGCTGAGGTGTATTGCCATAGATCTCTTAAACGATTTTAGATTGAATTAAGATTTGACTGTGTCCCTGAGATTATTACATAATTGCGGTGCTCTGTAGGAAAAGGAGGATCGAGCCACTTTATTTTTGTATTGCGGTATGCTAAATATCGTACTAGTTAGTACTAGATCGGAGGTTATAGGAAGTGGGAACAGCTGGGGAGAGCTTTCATTAAAGGATCCAAGCTGCGCCAAGGACCACTTTATTGGGGTGCCTAGGCACAGGAGCCAATTTACTGGGGTACTTGGGCATCTATTGGCAAGAGCCAATCAAAGACTACTTTTCTGGAGTACGTGGGGCATTTTTTGGCAAGCAAGGGCCATCTCCGTATGGTCCCTGGTTGCTTGTTTGCAAGCAGGGGACACCTTCTTTGTGAGGTTCCTAGGTGGTTATCGTCACGCAAGGGGGAATGTTCAGAGGATGCCTTGGTGTTTATAGCTGTACAGGGGCCACTTTATGGGGTTTCCTGGGTGGCTATTCGGGAGAAGAGGCCACTTTCCCATGCTGCCTGGGGAGCAAAACAAAACAAAAATTGAAAAACATGCAGAGCTATTTACCTACATACTAGTTGCCTATGTAAATTGTGTTTCAAGCTAAAATAACCATTTGCCTACCAAATAGTTATTTTTATTTTTTTGCTTGACATAGCTATTTGCCTATCCTTCGCAAACTGAGACTTTCTGTGGATGTCCAATCACAGACTTCCCAATGCAGCTCAATGAGAAGTCTTTGCAAGGCAAGTGCTCTGGGCATTTGCTGCCTCTTGAGATTAGCTCCACTGAGCTAATAAACAAATCACTTGATAATAATCAGGTAGCTTCTTCTTAGACCACCACAGTCCTTAACATATAGTATTTAAATTATAAAAGTGACAATTTGTATTTAAATCTACATTTTATGAAATGAGAAAAAAAGACACACTTCACACATGAGCACTTTAGCAAGCTAAAGTTATTTAGGTGTTTGGAGTGTTCCTTTACATTGAGGCCCAAGTTTGGTATTGCTCCACTACAGGGCTACCCAAAGATAGATCCCCAGATGTTGCTAAACTACAAGTCAGTTAATCCTTTGCATGCCTTTAGAATGTTGAAGCATCATGGAAGCTGTACTTTTAAAACATCCAGGGATCTAACCTTTGGGAACCCATGCTCTAATAGGAAGGTTCTCCTGCTCTGCCATCACTCACGTTACAGCGTACAGACCCATGCTGTAGTCTCTTTATGCCGAGAAATGAGTGGCACATCACCATATTTTTACATACGTTTTTCCTACTATCTATACACTTGCTATAAATTGTGCAATATATAGCAGGGGCTTCATATTTTATTTCTTTTAATATCATGCACGTACCATGGCAGGTACACTCTAGGGCTTGTTCACTAAACTATTAGATTTTCTGTTTGCTGTTGCTCCGTGTTTAGTGAATAACCCACTGTTTTAATTCCTGCAGCATATCAATTCTACATACTACATTGCAGTATATCACAATAGAGAATGGACAGGAAATATGCAGCAACAGGCAGCTGTAGTTAAAGTACACAATATTATCGGATTGTTTTCCTCCTTCCTGTATTAGAACTTTAGAGTTCTGTAACATGGGTTCAATGAGAGCTATGGAATCTTACAGCCTGTTACATTAGTAAGTGTCCCCCACCCTATGCGTGTTTCTTTTATTTACACCATTACCACTATAGGGGCCAAGTTATAATTACAGTAGTATCAGATTATTTTTCTACTTCCTGTACTTTGTTGTGTAAAACCTCTGTACTGTTTCATTGTCAATGTTGATATGTTTTATAGTTTAATCTCACACAATTATCATGTATGTTGTTATGTGGTAAGCTAGATCTATTTTACAGCCTATTTGCCCAACTACAAAACTGCCACCAGAGAGGAAACAGATAAATAATAAAGAGGAGGGATGCTTAGCCGTAAAAACTAATATTACACAAACACAATTCAGAATAAAGAGAATGTCAGAGCTGTTATTGGCGACAGCTGGGATAAGGACACTACATAATCCATAATGCCTTGCAGGACATTGTCCCATCACGTGATTTGAGTCATATGACCGAGTTCTGTAACATGGGTTAAAGGAGAGCCGTGGAATCTTATAGCCTGCTACACTAGCAAGACACACAGAATGCTCGGTATGTGTGTTCCATTTTCCATTAACTCGAAATATTTTACCATGCTGCCACTCCCACTCATATAAAGCTTTTCCGCCTCAATACTGCTAACTCAGAGGTCTGTCACAGGAAGCCTCAGTAACCTTGTGTATCTGTTCCGCTTTATTTTCATTTTAAGGCGTTATTTCCCTGTTATACTTTGCTCAGCTGTAGCAGTGAGCACTTCTTATTTATGTAATTCTGTTCTTCGGTATGTTAACTGAACCTTTTTGTTTTGTATTTATGTAACCTGCATTTTCTCCCTGTTTTTTATGGGGATGGTAAAGCCATAACATTGAAGAAAGGTGTGTCTTTTTTTTTTTCTCAAGGAAATTGCCCTCTTGCTGCAGGACAGACCCTCTGATCACAGTCTATATTAACACAGCTCCTCTATGTCACTCTGGACTTTATTCATTGTTGGGGCTTTCTTACAGCCCGTATTTAGTGACCCCCCAAATATTGTTCTGATATTTGCTGATGACTTGGGCTATGGTGATTTGGGGTGCTATGGACATCCTACCTCCCTCACCCCCAATCTGGACTTGATGGCATCTAGAGGACTGAGATTTAAAGATTTCTACAGTGCAGCACCTGTGTGTTCTCCATCCAGGTACTGTATATATTTATACGGTTTCATATTATTAATCTTATAAATCTCCTTTAATTGGAAAGTGTGATGCCCTGGACTTTACCTAGTGCACATTATACCTACTCCTTCTCCTGCAGTCATGGCCAAATTCTCCCCCTCCCCAATTACATAGTTACATAGCTGAAAAGAGACTTGTGTCCATCAAGTTAAGCCTTCCTCACATTCCCCAGTTTGAAGCACTTCCAATTTTGCAACAAACTAGGAAAACCATTCCTTCTTGACCCCAGAATCTTGATCCAATTTATCCTTGGATCAAGAAGCTATTAACCTACATTGAAAAATTATATCCTTGAATATTCTGTTTTTGCAAGTATGCCTCTAGCTGCTGTATGGACTCTGATAAAACCACTTCTTCAGGCAGAGAATTCCACGTCCTTTATTGTTCTTACAGTAAAAAACCTTTCCTTTGCCTTAGACTAAATCTTTTTCTTCCAGTCTAAACGCATGACCTTTTGTGTCCTATGTAAAGTTCGGTTTGTGAATAGATTTCCCCACAATGGTTTGTATTGGCCCCGAATGTATTTGTAGAATGTTATCATATCCCCTCTCAGGTGATGTTTTTCTAAACTAAAGAGGTTTAAATGTGTTAACCTTTCTTCATAGCTGATATGTTCCATTCCTTTTATTAATTTTGTAGCCTGCTTCTGCACTTTTTCTAGTGCCATAATATCATTCCTTAGAACTGGTGCCCACAATTGCACAGCATATTCAATATGTGATCTTACCAGTGATTTATAAAGAGGCAAAATGATATTCTCATATACCTTTGCATCCCTAAAAGCACCAATATATGGCATTGATGGAAAAACACAATAATGGCAGAAAAAGACTGTGATTGCAGTGGTGAACTAATGTAACATTATTTCCCAATTTTTGCCACCCTCCTGTTTTGCATACCTTTTGGGTGGAGGAAGGTGGCTTCCCTGGGGTCAAGTGGGACTGCTGGCTGAGGCTGATGTGGTTGCTGGGAGTCTGCTCGTTCCTCTCTTCCCCTGTCCCCACGCAGCTCTCTGATATCTGGGAGAAAGTGATGTGAACTCACTTCTTTCCTGCACATCTGACAGGGGCCAGTTTTATGCTGATAGTGAGCTGCAGCGCCCTACCGCTCCTGATCGTGATTCACATTGTGCAGACCCCTGTGCAGCTGTAATGGCAAGAGTTCCACTACTGGGTGATTGGTACTGATACTAAAAAATGTATGCGTTTTTAATTATTGGGGGAGCATTTAGAATGCAGTGCTTTACAACAGGGGTCAAGAGAGTTTGTTTACCTGTTATTTATGCCATCTAATGTGTATCACATCTCCCCTACCTTAACGGTCACAATTTGTCTTCCATTATCCAGTCTCTCTTCATATACATATACCTATTAAACCCTCAGGTAAGTAAAAACTACCTTTGGCCATTGCGCTGTTCTCTAGGACTTGGAGGTTTTGTTTGGAGTTCACCTTCTGGGGTGTATGTGTGTGTGTGTGTATATGTATGTGTGTGTGTGTGTGTGTGTGTGTATATATATATATATATATATATATATATATATATATATATATATATATATATATATATATATATATATATATATATATATAATATTTATATTTTTTAAAACAAATCCGCCTTAAAGGACCACTATAGTGCCCTGAGGGTGCCCCCACCCTCAGGGTCCCCCTCCCGCCCGGCTCTGGAAGGGGGAAAGGGGTAATAACTTACCTTTTTCCAGCGCTGGGCGGAGAGCTCTCCTCCTCCCCTCCGCCCACCGCCGGCTGAATGCGACCGCCGCTGCAAGCAGCTGCGCTGCGATTCCAGCCTCCGCATAGGAAAGCATTTACAATGCTTTATAGACGCTATGCACTCACCGTGAAAATCACAGTGAGAAGCACGCAAGCGCCTCTAGTGGCTGTCAATGAGACAGCTACTAGAGGATTAGGGGGAAGGCTTAACCCATTCATAATTATAGCAGTTTCTCTGAAACTGCTATAATTATGAAAAAATGGGTTAACCCTAGAAGGACCTGGCACCCAGACCACTTCATTAAGCTGAAGTGGTCTGGGTGCCTAGAGTGATCCTTTAAGCCCCATGTTCACAGCCTCTCATTCTGCATGCTCACATGTTTGAACAGATATTGAGGAAATGAATGTCCTCTTTATGGTATTGCATGCTGAAGGCTCGTCTTGGGGATCTCTCCAGTTTTTGAATAAGTGCTTGAAAATGACATAAAAAAAGCTGGAGGTACTGCACCCATAATATGTGATGAAACCAATCGCAAATTGTGCTGTTCTTTGTTTTGCTTTTCAAAATCTCATTCCTTTAAGACAGATGTTTGTGCCAGACACCGCACGTAGTTGCCACTAGCATCAGGAGAAGATGACAGGTTGTTTGAACCTGTTTCTATCTATTAACTTACTGGCAAACACAATATTGGTAGCGGGAGGGAGAATAGGTATACCCCAGGTATCTTTACTATTTTGCCTATTACACCCTCGAAGTCTTGCTTGACTTTCTTCTTCTTAATTTTTTTTTTTTTTTTTTTTAATCTGTAAAATTTTGTACTTGACTATTCCTTTTTTTACTTTCTGATTTCATTGTTTGTTTGTTTTTTGCTGGCAGAGCTAGTCTCCTGACTGGCAGATATCCGAGCCGAACTGGAGTGTTCCCTGGTGTATTTTACCCTAGCTCTCGAGGTGGTCTTCCACACAGTGAGGTGACAATTGCTGAGGTCCTACAATCACAAGGATATGAAACCGCTATTGTGGGAAAGTGGCACGTTGGGCTTGGGCTGAATGGTACATTTCTACCCACACAACAGGGATTTCATCACTTTCTGGGAGTTCCCTACTCTCATGACCAGGTAACATAATTTTTAAGATAGGTTATCTGTATTGGTGGTTACTTTGACCAAAAATCGTTTACATATTAGATAGAAGTGTAGTGTGGACAAAATTCTGTATTGCTCCAGCAAATCAAAAGTGCCCAGAGATCACCATCTGATTTGTGTGGCAACATGCCATAACCATTGTCTGCTCATAACTAATAGGCTACATTGAGTTCTCTAGTAGGCTCTACGAATGCCGTACCGTCTGTTGCTTGACATCTACATACACTAGGGGCTGACCAGGAATGGACCTCGATTGACTTCCAGGCATTGTGATCACGGAAATTGCTTGTCTTAAATATAAATTCTGATTGAAGGGTTTAAGTCCCCACACTGGTCTCATTCATGACTGACAATCTGCATAGCATTTTCGAAAAATGATCCAACACCACACCTGTTGGTGATTTCAGTATTGTCCCTGCTTTGGCTAGCATGATGCCAATATAAAGTAACAACACTAATTTATTGAATAGAGGATGTTTTAAAGTCTAGATCAGGACTTCCCAAACTTTTTTGAAAACAAATTTTCTTTTGCGACCCACTCGCATGTAATGCATATTTTAAAAATGAAGAAACTTGGCACATCATGGCAAATCTCATTTAGATGCATACAATTGGCACACCATTGGCCGTTTTAGAGGGCCCTGGTGCAAGTATGTTTTCTGGGCACCCCTCCTCAAGTGTGGCCAAAAGGTAGATCCCCATTTGTAGGATAATTCGAACAATGCTATGCGAGCTTGGGGATCTACCATTTGCTCATACTTGCAGGGTTGTACTTGTGAGCAGTATTTATGCGTTTGAATGTAAGCATGTTTTTGTATTAAAGCACCACTCTAGGCACCCAGACCACTTCAGCTCAATGAAGTGGTCTGGGTGCCAGGTCCAGCTAGGGTTAACCCATTTTTTCATAAACATAGCAGTTTCTGAGAAACTGCTATGTTTATGAATGGGTTAAGCCTTCCCCCTATTCCTCTAGTAGCTGTCTCATTGACAGCCACTAGAGGCGCTTGCGTGCTTCTCACTGTGATTTTCACAGTGAGAGCACGCAAGCGTCCATAGGAAAGCATTATGAATGCTTTCCTATGTGACTGGCTGAATGCGCACGCAGCTCTTGCCGCGCGTGCGCATTCAGCCGACGGGGAGGAGGATCGGAGGAGGAGAGCTCCCCGCCCAGCGCTGGAAAAAGGTAAGTTTAACCCCTTTTCCCCTTTACAGAGCCGGGCGGGAGGGGGTCCCTGAGGGTGGGGTCACCCTCAGGGCACTATAGTGCCAGGAAAACGAGTATGTTTTCCTGGCACTATAGTGGTCCTTTAAGTATTTGTATATACTGTTGCCATTGGAATGTAGTGGTGTACTTGTGTGTAGTGTTTGCATGTAGTGTTGGCTTTTAAATGCAGGTGTGCTTTTGTGTGTAGTGTTGGTGTTTGAATACTACTTCAAAAGTGTGCGTGACGTAGTTGTGGTGCTGAAAGGGTTAAAGTTCATTATCTGTCTGGAAATAATGATTAAATCCCACTTAACACCACCCACACTTAACCATATTTATTATTATAATTGCCATTTATATAGCGCCAATAGATTCTTTAGCGCTTTACAATGTTACGAGAAGGGGATTTAACTGTAAATCGGACAATTACAAAAAACTTACAGGGACGATAGATTAGAAAGGACCATGCTCAAACGAGCTTACATTCTATAGGAGGTGGGGTGTAAAACACAATAGGACAGGGATTTGCAGTGAAATAAGGTGGGCTGCTCTTTAGGAGGGAGCAAGAGACAGGTATGGGAGGTAGAGGTTAATCTGGGGGGGCCATAAGCTTTCCTAAAGAGATGGGTTTTAAGGCGTTTCTTAAAGGATGCAAGACAAGGTAGGCAGGCTATTCCATAGGGCGGGAGCTGCCCGCGAGAAGTCCTGCAAGCGTGAGTTGGCCGTACAGGTGCGGACAACGGACAGGAGGTGGTCACGGGCAGAGCAAAGAGACCGAGAAGGGACATACCTATGGATCTGAGAAGAACTTAAGAAAGGAATATTTATTATTTATTATGAGCAAAAAATTGTCACAGTGCATACAAAAAATAGATGATAAACAAATGATTTACACCAATAACAGATAAATACGAAAGGAATAAAATAACAAAGTCCTAATCACTTACTCAGGTTTGCCAAGTAAAACTTCTGCCCAGGGGATCTCTGGCAAGGAAGATGGTGACTCACTCAAAATAAGATTTTGGCCCCAAGCAAGTACACTACACACTTCACTATAATTAGGTATATACCATGTGGATTAACAAGTCTCGCACAGAGGTGGAGATAAGGTAACTATAAGTGACCACCCCATTGTGTTCCAGACCAACCTCAATCCAAATGGAAACATTTGGTTCTATCTCCTCTTATGTACTTGCCACAGAAATAATTGGATCTGTGGCTTTGTTACATTTTTCCATTCCGTATTTATGTCACACTGCTTACTTGTGACCCAATTTGACATCACAATCCTGCCCAACAGCAGCTCATGTTTAGGCTTGATTAGAAGAATGTGCTTGTCCCATTCTAAATATAATAAAAAAGAGGCTTAATTATTAATCTATGTATTAATGTTTCTTTTGGATATGATACTGGAACACAAGGGTTTTCTTGAAGGCTAATGATTTAACATATCAAAGAAATGAACTCCTCAATTAAGAGGTACATTCCATATGGTTGAAGTCAGTTAGTTTATAATGTGTGTTTTGGATGTAATGTTGGCTTTGAAATGTACATGTGTGCGTAGTATTGGTGTTAGATTGTGTGTATATCTGTGTAAGTACGTATGTGGCAGTGTATGTACGTACATACATACAAATTCATGTACACATGAAACATACATAGGTGCTCACCCTGACAAACAGATGCACAAGTACAACTCATTTTATCGTCCGAATGAGCGGATGTGCCATTGACTGGTCAAATATCAGGAGCTCATGTGGACTAAAAAAGGGGGTGCTCCCCCTGGCTCATGGAGTTATGGTTCGGCATAGTCTCTTGTACCGCCCCTCCAATTAGCGCTCTCCGAACTGGCTGGGAAGTGGATGGAAACAGTGGTTGAAGTTGACCGGCCAATGTTTGTAACCACAGCCAAGCCGAAGTTCCAGGGGAATATGGTCAGTTCCCTCCGGCTCTCTTTTATACACCGACCCCCAGCATATGGTCTCCATTCACTACATCCTAGATCCCGCCCTGGTGTCTCTGTGTCTGGCAGATAATTGAGTCAACTGTTACTAAACCAATTATTTCCAGGCACAGAGAGCCTAACACAGAAAAACCCCAAAACAGAGACAAAACATCCCTGAAACTGTACAAGCCATACATCCCCGCATTGTGCATGTTGGTGTGCCCAACCTGGCAATATAGCACTGTAAATCGTGGAGTTGTAGGGAAACTCCACTGTCAGGCCTAACCTTAGTTGGGAGTCCGGTATGCAGAGATGTATGCTCACCCTTGCAAATAAACACAGACCAAGGTGACCAGATAAGGAATCACCTGGCCTGGGAGTCTGTGCATGGGGCTGTGCAGGCTATTGCTCCAAGTCGCAGTACAGGCAAGGACACAAGCAGGAGAATAGTCAAGGATAAGCCAAAATCAGAGGATGCCAGAAGTCAGGATACACAATAAGAATAAGCCAAGGTCAGGAGCCGACTGGAGAACACTGGATCACAAACACAGGAACCAGAGTCAATAAACTGACACTAAACCTCAGGGAGAGGCAGTGTCTTAAACCTTGCTAATTGGGCATCAGCTTCAGGTGGGTTGAAATTGATAGGAGCAGTCCCAGGTAAAATCCAGCCCCCTAGTGCTGCAGACAAGGCAGGATAGGACATCAGGCAGAAACATTTACTGAATTGTGGCTCTCAGACAAGACAGCAGAACTAAGGCAGCAAGAGTCCAGAATTCAAATCCCCTTTTTGGCACCTGTGGAATGGTGAATCTGAATGGCACGGGGCCAATCGTGACAACCATCCCGTTAAAGTTTAGCCAGGTTGCTAGAACAGTCCTTGCCGAAAACCGTTTCAGACAATGAGGGGGCTCCCCCTGGCTCATTGGCTCATAAATAGCGATTTGTTCCCCTTGATTGACTGGAGCTCCCCTCCAAAACACGCTATAATTTGATGTTGGACAAGGGGTGAAAACCACAATGTAATAAGATCGGGCTGAGGTGATGTTCGCGGCCGAGCCGGAGTTCCTTGAAATACATAGAGAAGTCCCTCTGAAGAGTCTTGGATACTCAGGCTTGGTGTATGGTCTGTGGACGGGGCAGAGAGAGGCACTTGCTGGAATCACATTGAGGGGGGAAGGTAACACAGGGAGCCAGGGGAGCGTTGTAGTCTTTAACTAAGTTTTAGCGCTTGGTGGTATCTGCCACACTCCCGTTCCATCTCCATGTTTTCTGACACTTATGGCTTTGGCGCTACATCAGAAGTGCAACTGGGGCAGTGCTCACACTGACAGTCTAAAAAAGTTATTAGATCGTGACAGTTGAGGGCATGTGTCACAACACCATAACCACAAGCAGGGCAGAATTTTGAACTTGTACTCCGGCCCACCCAATAACTCAAGTGTTGCCATGAGTGCTCAGAAGCAAGAAGATGGAAAATGTGTTTGGGGCAGTGCACTCATTGGGTGAAAGACACTTACTCTTGCGTTGCTGGAGCTCTATAGGCCTGGTTTCTTTCAGCTCCCCAATTCTCTAGTTTGCTCCTGTTGTGGTTATTGTGTTGTGACACATGCCCTCAACTGTTGTTGTTGTTGTTGTTGTTATTATTTTATTTATATAGCGCCAACAAATTCCACAGCACTTTACAGTGGGTGGACGAACAGATATGTAGTTGTAACCAGACAAGTTGGACACACAGGAACAGAGGGGTTGAGGGCCCTGTTCCATGAGCTTACGTGCTAGAGAGAGTGGGGTAAAGTGACACAAAAGGTAAGGATAGTATTAGACCAATAAAAGTTGCATGAGAGGACTGTCGGGAGCTATTTACAGTTTAATTGATACGCTTTTATGAATAACTGGGTTTTTAATAATTTTTTTTTTTTTTTTGAAGGAGTGGAGACTGGGTGAGCATCTAACGGAGTAGGGAGGCGTGGGAGGTGCTGGCGGACAGGAAGATGAGTCTCGCCGCCGCATTGATTATGGACTGTAACGGCGCAAGTTGGGAGCACGTAAGACCACTGAGAAGTGGATAACAGTAGTCAAGGCGAGAAAGGACAAAGGAATGGACCAGCGCCTTAGTCGTATCTGGCTTTAAGTAGGGTCGTATGCGTGCAATGTTTTTGAGATTGAAATGACAGGATTTGGTGATAGACTGAACATGAGGCGTGAAGGAGAGGTCGGAGTCAAAGAAAGCACCTAGGCAGCGAGCCTGCGTGGTGAAGCAGATGGTAGCACCGTTGACTTGGAGGGAGACAGACACAGGAGTAACAACACTTGAGGGAGGAAAGACTAGAATTTCATTTTTTTTCAAGTTTAGTTTAAAGAAGTGGGAAGCCATCCAGTTAGAAATAGAAGAGGGGCAGTCAGAGACACTAGTCAAAAGGGACAGGGAGAGATCAGGAGAGGACCGGTAGATTTGCGTGTCATCCGCATAGAAATGGTATTGGAAGCCAAAGGAGCTAATGAGTTTACCACACAGTATAGATATAGAACAGTAGGGGACCAATGACTGAAACTTGGGGGACACCAACAGAGAGGAGTTTGGGAGAAGAAGCAGAGCCAGAGAAAGAAACATTGAAAGAGCGTTGGGAGAGGTAGCAAAACACCAGGAGAGAGCAATATCTTGTAGACCGATATTGCGGAGGATGAGAAGAAGCTGTTGATGATCAACAGTGTCGAAAGCCGCAGACAGGTCAAGGAGAATTAGGATAGAGTAGTGACCAAGAGGTTTTGCAGCAAGTAGATCATTGGATACTTTGGTCAGTGCCATTTCCACAGAGTGCTTAGCATGGAAACCAGAATGAAGCGGGTCTAGCAGAGAGTTAGACTCAAGGAAGTCTGTCAATCTTGCATACACAAATCTTTCAAGGATCTTGGATGCAAAAGGCAGTAGCGAGATTGTCAGTGTGAGCACCCTGATGCCAGTGCACCAGCTGCACTGATGGAATTTGGGAAATAAGTACTGGAACAAAATATTTCCGTGCTCTAAAGTGGCATTCTTTGGGATTAAATGTCTGAAGGTATTACTTTATTATGTGCTTAATCGCTCCAACTAATCTGCTAACTTTTTCAAATGCACTTTAAGGTTTGAAGCCTGAGCTGTCTCTTGACATTTTGTACTAAATTAGCTTCCTCTGCTATAAAATCTCCATTTATGTATCACTCTATACAGGGCCCCTGTCATAACCTCACATGCTTTCCACCAAACACTGGGTGCTATGGTACATGTGATCTTGGAGAAGCTCTGCTCCCTGTATTCTTGAATGAAAAGATCATCCAGCAACCAGTGAATTTCACAGGACTTATCTCGATGTACATGAAATTCAGCAAATTGTTCATTTACCAAGCTGTGAAAAACAGGAACCCTTTCTTCTTGTACTATGCCTCACATGTGAGTAAACCCAACCAGTAGAATCATGCTAACTCTCAGTGCTTCTGCAATAAGTGTGGGGGTAGGATTATAGCAATGGGTGGGGTGTAAGGGGGTGTGCGTTAACTGCATTGTACACCGCAACTAGGGTGTGGATCACAGGTTCAGAACAGGTTCTGTGTTTATTTATATTTATTGTTTTAAATATTTGGGGGTCTTACCTCTACTGATTCCGTATAAAGGTAACTGGTCAGCCAACGTGAACAATGTGCAGTGGTGCTTTAAAATGATATTGAATACGGTGATACACTTATCACGTATAGGCACCCTTTCCCTAATTATGGAAGAAACTCTTGTCACTTGCACATGTGAACTACAATACATGGGAGAAAACTATTAACAATTTGAATATTACAGCACATTAACTCCATTCTGATAAATTTGGGCAAGCCAATTTCTTGTCATGGTGGTGTTCCCACTAATTTGTCATTTCAAGCCATCAAGAAAGTGAATCATTCTCCTCGAAAGGGGAATACTAATAAATGTTCCTGCAGAGGGAATCTGGATTTATATATGAATATAAAACTCCAATACCTTGTGGTTTAAATTAAGACATTACTTAAGTTCTACTTTTTAAATTATTTTGATTGCACATTTCACCCTTCCTTTTTCTGCTTCTATCCACAGCACACTCATTACCCACAGTTTGCAAGTGCTAAATACACTGGCTCCACTCCACGGAGACGGTTTGGAGATGCTCTCCGGGAATTTGATGGATCAGTAGGGGAGCTGTTGCAGACTGTGTGGGATTCTGGGATTTTAAATAACACATTCTTTTTCTTCACGTCAGACAATGGGTCAGTGTTTTTCTTTCTTTTTTTTTTTTTTTTTCTTCATTTATTTTAAACAATTTGCCTTTTGTCATAGTTAAAAACCAAGCTTACATGGGATTGTAAGCGATCACGATCGACTCTAGTTCAAGAGTGGATCTGTATAGATTCTGTAAACTCAGATAGAACCTGTTCAATATATTGGAAGGTAAGTGTGTTCTGGTGTTATCCTTCCTATCTTTTAAACGTGTTTGCTGTAGGAAAATTAGGTCAGGTTGTTGAATTGACTGTATTTTTCTATTTTCAGGCCTGAGACCATGAGGATGGAGAGAGGAGGTAGTTCTGGGCTCTTGAAATGTGGAAAAACTACCACATATGAGGGGGGCATGAGAGAACCCGCAATAGCGTACTGGGAAGGCAAGATAAAACCAGGTAACTTCATTGGATTTTCATGCATATAAATTCACAAACATATACTGGCCATAACAGAGAAGTTACTTTTTTTTTTTATATATTCTAGTGTGTTTTTGTTTTTTGACAATTTTTGTTTTCCAAGTATTCATGGAGTCCAAAAAGAAGAGCAGGAAGTAGTTAATGGGTAACAGTAGGCAATGTATTCATACATCAAACACATGATACACATGAGCTCCCACCCTAGAGGTCCAGGATGGCTATAAATATTGCCGGTCAGGCATAACATTGTTAGTTTTTACTTGTCTATTCTCTCCACCTCTCCTGTTTAGGCCTTCCTTGTGGGTTGGGTTCCACTTGTCGTAGCCCCTCTTTAATTCAATAATTGGAGCCCCACCTGTGCCCTATAATGAAAAATGGGGCAATATATTTCTGGCACCCATAGAATAAAAAACTGAACTATATATAATTACACCCCCAGCTCCCATTCCTAGGCAGCAAGTGCGGGTCCCTATTAAAAAAAAGAAAATCACTAGTTCACCCTAATTTTATTACATGACAGGAGGCTTCGTATTTTGCATAACTCTCTTTACTAAACTCCATAGCAGTAAAGAAAAGGATAGTATGAAACAATCAAAAAACAGTAGGAGGTATGGTCTTCCCAGTGAACAGGTTCCTCCCCCTCTTTCTTTACTGCTCCATCAGCAGACAGGTCAGAATATTGAGCTCCTCATATTTATTCAATGTTTACATATTTATTATACTTATATTGCTTGTAATTTATTGCCTTTTTTTGTGTATCTTTATTTAACTGTCATTCCTTTATGCCTGGGTAACTTTCTACTCTGGAATTGTTCCTGAGGCCCCCTCACATATACCTATATGTGTTCTGGGCACTCTGCTTCCCCCTCCCCCCCGGATCTACTTACCCACACTTTCAGTGTGGCGGAGGCCATCTTGGATGTTTTTTGGAGCTTCACCCACTTGGTCTGACTCTGTTGGAGAGCTACACCTGCTTGGTCTTTTAAGGTAAGCATTGTTTTATTACTGTTTCAGATTCCACTATCAACTCACACTACTCTCATCCAGGCAGGGGTCCCCACAGAAAGTCTCTGTTACTCCTGTGGTATATATGCACTATAGGGCTCAATACCCTGTGCACTCTGGGGTAAGGCCCCATTAAGGTGCTGCCTATCAGAGCTCTGCTGTTGCAATCTCTGCATACTGGGTGCTGCCCAGACACAAAACCCAATACACCCTGCTGGGGTGATATATTCAGTACTGCTGGTACTTTCTGTTCCTGAGCTATCCTACCCTACTGGGGCCCTAGTAATACTAGTACTATTCTGGAACATTACCCTGCTGGGGTTAAATCCGGTACTGCTGGTACATAACGCTGCTAAATGGCAAGGGACAGGGGACACCACCCTGCCACAGGACAAAGCTATTCTGGACCCCATGGGCCAGATGCTCTTTGATCCACAAAACATCAGGTACCCCCGCTCCACAGACTGGACGCCTCCGGAACACCTCGCAAAGTTTATGCACCTATGGATGCACAAACCAGTCCAGACCAAGTGGCCATGACACCGGAATTTGACCAGGTAATCACGACCTTCATGAGCAGAGGTGGTCACAATCCCCGCCGCGGGGTGGAGAGAGGATTCAAAGGAGTCCAAGACAAACTTCTAGATACCTCCGGACCCCTCTCTCGCATAATGTTCCTGGCAGACGATGCCTTCCAATGTACAGACCAATTTGATGCCGACATGGTCAGGGAATGGGCTCACGATATCCGCGAATGGGCTCAACGCGCTTTTTGTTTCCTTGGAGAGGCGTAAGGCAGCACTTCTCCGCATAGATGGGAAGTTGGTGGAGTTGGGCACCAAAGAACTCGGACCTCTGGCACAGGGCAAATTATTTGGAGACCCCTTTCTAAAGGAATTGAACAGTCACGTCAACGTCTTTACCTCATTGAGTAAAGCTCAAACCTCAATGAGGAAGGTCTTCAGACAATACCCCCCTAGGGGTGTTTTGGGACGGGCTGGAGGCCACAGGGGCCGTGCTGCCAGCCGTTTCTGGCCATCAGGTCCCCGATCCTCAAGACCGCAACCCTTCTACCCAGAAATGGGATACCGTCAACCTTTCACCTACTCAAGAGGTTCGGACAGAGGACACAGTACCCGTGGTCATGGCAGGTCCCGCTTCGCACCAGGTAAGCTATCATCTACCTTCGATCACCTTGCATGCAGGTCATCTCTCCCTTTTTCTTTCAGAACTGGATGACCATCTCGTTAGACGCTTGGATACTCCAGACGGTACGGGGATACATCATAGATTTCATCAGCACACCTTATCAAGAGGTCCCACCACGACCGCTCAACAGTTTGGCAGAGGACTCCAAACTCATCCAAGCTGAACTTCGGGAACTCCGCAACAAGGGTGCGATAGAACCCACCCAGGACTCAGGAGGATTCTTCAGCAACATCTTCTTAGTAAAGAAGAAAACAGGAGACCTCCGACCAGTTATAAACCTCCGGGTCTACCGCCACTTCAAAATGGAGGGAATCCACCTCTTACGAGATCTCCTGCAAGACGGCGATTGGTTCACAAGATTGGACCTCAAAGACGCCTACCTATCAGTACCGATTCACACCAACAGCAGACGTTTCCTCAGCTTCACGTGGAACGACCGACCATGGCAGTTCACTTGCCTCCCGTTCGGCCCCATGGTGTTTCACCAAACTGCTGAAGCCGGTGGTTACTCATCTGCGCGCAAGAGGAATACAATTTTATATACCTGGACGACCTTCTAATCTTCTGCTCCGTCAAGTCACGACTCCACACACGTTTTGCCATGGAACTCCTAGAATCCCTAGGGTTTACGATAAACCAACTGAAATCGGCAACAACTCCGTCCCAAACTATACAATTCCTGGGATTCGAAATCGACTGTCTCCAGCACGCTCCGCCTGCCAACAGCCAAGATCGCGGCTATTCGGAAGGAAATCCGCAAGACGATCATATGTCAATCGGTTCCCCTACGCAACCTAGCATGGATCGTGGGTCTCCTATCAGCATCCATCCAAGCCATCTTCCCGGGTCCACTCCACTACAGGGCGATGCAACGCCTCAAGGCATCCTTCCTCCGCCGAAATCCCACCTACGACCAACCAGTACCGATTTATGGCAGAGGTCAAGGAGGAACTACAGTGGTGGCTGGACAGCATGCAGGCCTGGAACGGCCGAGCGATATTCGGCGAAACCCCAGATTTCGTACTGGAATCGGATGCCAGCCTTTGGGGCTGGGGCGCCACGAGCTAGGGAGTATCGACAGGAGGAGCCTGGACTTCACAGGAACTCAACCTGCATATCAACTGTCTCGAACTACTGGCGGGCTCCTTCGCCATACGCAGCCTGGCAAGGGACAAATTGGATTGTTGCATTCTCCTCAGGATGGACAACATCTCGGCCGTCTGATATATCAACCGCCTAGGCGGTGTCACGATTCGGGGAACCCAACACGCTGGCACACACACACACACACACAAAAGGTGCCGTACCGGACCTTAGAGTGGCCGGGCTAAGCACACACAGAATAGTCAGGAGGCAAGCCGAGTAAAGGGGAACCAGAAGACAGAATAACGTAAAACGAGCCGAGGTCAAAGGGTAGGAGAAAGTCACAGAGTCAGATAAACAAGCCAGAGAGTACGTAACCAGAAGCACAAGGTAAGTAGCAATACTAGCAAGCAAAGACCACAACAGGGCAAGGAGGAACAGGAAAGGTAAGTATTTAAACCATCAGGTTAATTCTGATTGGATGATTTCCAATCAGAATTAACAATCACACGTGGGAGATATTTAGACCTCCCACCGTGATTGTGGCACTTTGCCTTTAACGCCGGGTCAGGTGACTGACCCCGGCGTGTATAAACCTGGGCGGTCTCCCAGCGTGCAGCGTCATGCATGCTGCCGCTGGGGGACGTGGAGGGAACGGCGGGCGGCATCCGAGGCTGGAAGGATGCCGCTCGCCGTACCCACGGAGGGGACCGCGGACGGCTGGAGGGTGAGTACTGCGAGCGGAGTGCAGCCTCCCCTCGCAGCCGCCCGCGGGAGCCTGACATTACCCCCCCTCGAAGACCGCCCAGGGGGCGGGAAGCGGAAGGCTTCAAAGGAAAGCGGGCATGAAAGGAGCGGACCAAAGAGGGAGCGTGCACATCGGAGCTCGAAACCCAGGACCGCTCCTCAGGGCCGTACCCCTTCCAGTCCACCAAATATTGCAGCCGACCCCTAGAAACACGAGAGTCGAGAAGGGCAGCCACCTCGTACACGTCGTCAGAGACAGCTCGAGGGGAAACGGGCCGCCCGAGGGGACGAGAGAACCGGTTACACAGCAAGGGTTTCAAAAGCGAGACGTGAAACGTGTTCGGGACACGCATGGAAGGAGGCAAATCAAGGGAGTAGGAAACTGGATTAACCCTACGTAACACCTTGAAGGGACCAAGAAACCTGGGGGCAAATTTCATCGAGGGAACCTTGAGACGGAGGTTCCGGGAGGACAACCATACCCTATCACCCGGAACATAGGAAGGGGCCGCAACCCTACGGCGATCAGCAAACTTTTTCTGAGCAGCTGCTGAACGAGACAGCGCAACATGGACCTGATCCCACGTCTTCCGCAAAGAGGCGAGGTGCTGGTCCAAGGCGGGCATTCCCTTGTCGGAGAACGCACCGGGAAGGACAGAAGGCGAAACCCATAAGCAACCTCAAAAGGACTTAAGCCAGTAGACGAATGAGACACCGTATTCCTGGCAAATTCAGCCCACGGAAGAAGGCGAGACCAGTCATCCTGGTGCGCATTAGTGAAGCAGCGCAAATACAATTCCACAGACTGATTAGCACGTTCGGCCGCACCATTAGATTGCGGGTGATAGGAGGAAGAAACGACAAGGATACCCCCATCTCAGCACAAAAGCCCCTCCAGAACCGAGAGACAAATTGAGGGCCCCTGTCAGATACGATATCCTGGGGTACCCCATGCAATCGGAACACTTCTTTGGCAAATACCTGAGCTAACTGAACCGCAGAAGGCAGTTTTTTAAGCGGAATGAAGTGCGCCATTTTAGAGAACCTATCCGTCGCAGTCAGTATCACCGTCTGACCATCAGAAAGAGGCAGGTCTACAATGAAATCCATGGATAAGTGGGTCCATGGTTTCTTGGGTATAGATAGAGGCATCAGAAAACCCTGGGGTCTCACATTAAGGGACTTACATTGCGTGCAGACCTGACAAGCCTGAACAAAATCCACTACGTCTCGCTTGAGTGAAGGCCACCAGAACTGTTGAAGGAGGCCTTTGTAGGTTTTGGTAACCCCCGGATGACCAGCAGTTTTGGCTGTGTGAAATAAAGTTAACAACTTTTTTCTGTCATTAGCTTCAACGTATAGTTTACCAACTGGCGTCTCAGGGGGTGCCTGGGTTTGGTATGTCTTAATACTGTTAAGGAAAGGTGAAGAAACAACCAAACGGGTGGCAGCTATTATCTGAGACTCGGGTACAATAGGTTCAGGAGTCGGGTTAACAAATTCTACTGGTTCATGCTGCCGAGAGATGGCGTCAGCTTTGGCATTACGGCAACCAGGTCTATAGGTGATAACATATTGGAAGCGTGAGAGAAATAGAGACCATCTAGCCTGCCGGGCAGATAACCTTCTAGCATCAGCAATATAGGATAGATTCTTATGATCTGTTATAACCATAATTTTGTGTCTAGAACCCTCTAATAAGTACCTCCATTCCTTGAAAGCTAACACAATAGCTAATAGTTCCCTATTCCCAACATCATAATTCTTCTCTGAATCAGACAACCTTTTAGAAAAATAACAACAGGGATGGAGGGGTTTGTCATAAGACAACCTCTGTGACAGTAACGGCTCCCACACCTGACTCCGAGGCGTCTACTTCCATAACAAAGGGAAGAGAAGGATCAGGGTGGTGCAGCACTGGAGCAGAGGCAAATGCCTTCTTGAGGGTTTCGAAGGCCTTAAGGGCTTCAGGAGTCCAAACCCTAGGTGTAGACCTTTTTTTGTCAACTTCGTTATGGGAGATATGAGTGGTGAAAAGTTTTTTATAAATTTCCTATAATAGTTGGCAAATCCTATAAAACGCTGGATAGCCTTTAGTCCTTGGGGAAGTGGCCAGGACATTATAGCTTCCAATTTAGCAGGATCCATACTGAAACCCTGTTCAGTAATGATATATCCTAGGAATTGCACAGAGGTCTGATCGAATAAACATTTTTCTAACTTACAGTAGAGTCCATTCTGCAATAGCCTTTTGAGCACCATCCTAACATGGTTATGGTGTGACTTCAAATCAGGAGAATACACAAGTATGTCGTCAAGGTACACTACAGCACAGACATGCAATAGATCCCTAAGGACATCATTTATGAGGTCCTGAAACACGGCAGGAGCATTACACAATCCAAAAGGCATGACCAGATATTCGTAATGCCCACTGCGTGTGTTGAACGCTGTCTTCCACTCGTCATTCTCCTTTATACGGACAAGGTTATAAGCCCCCCTGAGGTCTAATTTGGTGAAAAATTTAGAACCTTTAACACGATCAAACAACTCAGTGATGAGGGGGATAGGGTAGGCGTTTTTAACCGTTATATTGTTCAGACCCCTGTAGTCTATACATGGCCTCAAATCACCCTCCTTCTTAGCCACAAAAAAGAAACCAGCACCAGCAGGAGAGGAGGACCTTCTAATAAAACCTTTTCTTAGGGATTCCTGTATGTACTCCTCCATGATTTGGTTTTCTTTTTCAGAAAGAGGGTAGACCTTTCCCCTAGGAGGCATAGTGCCCGGTAAGAGGTTTATGGCACAATCATACTCACGGTGTGGAGGTAGCTTATCTGCCTCCCTCTTTTCAAAAACCAAGGCAAGGTCTGCATAAACAGAGGGCACAGAAACCGAGAGTGGTTTAGCCGTGGGTACGTTAAGTAAACAGACAGGACGTACATGAGCCACACAGTCTCGCTGACAAGATTCCCCCCAGGAGAGTATGTCTAAACAACCCCAATCAAGAACAGGGTTGTGTTTAACTAACCAGGGAAAACCTAGAACGATGGAGGCTGTTGGGGAGTCAATTATTTGGAAGGATAACTTCTCTTTGTGCAAAACACCCACAGACATAACTATTTCCTGGGTTTCATGGGTCACCAGAGGTTTCTCCAGTGGTCTACCATCTATGGCCTCAACGGCCAAGGGTGTCTCCTTTCGGATCAAATTCAGGGCTGCGGTTTTGGCAAAGGTCTCATCCATAAGGTTGTCTGCCGCACCTGAATCGATCAGGGCTTTGGTTGTTATAGTGGTTTTATTGACCAAGAGAGAAACCGTAATAAACGGTCTAGAGATGGACATATGAGGGGACAAAGTCATAACACCCGAGGCCGACCCCTCTCTAGGCCTTAGGTGCTGCAGTTTCCCTGTACTTTAGAGCAGGCTTTACAGTGATGCCCCCTCTTCCCACAATAAAGGCATAACCCCTCCCTTCTACGGTACGCTCTTTCGGCCTCAGTTAACCCCGTAGCACCCAACTGCATGGGTTCAGGGGATGGTTGCACAGGAGCGGGTAACGCTAGCAGGGAAGTACTGGGTAGAGCAGGTAACACCCGTGTATCCAACCGTCTTTGGCTACGCCTCTCTCTAATACGGTTATCTATAAGAATCACATAGTCTATAACATCATCTAGAAGAGCAGGTAATTCCCTGGATGCTATTTCATCCAGTATATAAGCGGCCAGACCCTCCTGAAAGGCTGTTACGAGGGCGTCATTATTCCAAACCACTTCAGCTGCTAGAGTACGAAATTCGATAGTGTAATCTGCTACAGACCTGTTACCCTGTCGGACCCTAAGCAGAGCCTTGCCAGCAGAAGCAACCCTACCGGGTTGATCAAACGTGCGTCTGAAAGCTGTCAGAAAATCAGCAAAGGACATAGGAGACGTATTTTCCCAAATGGGGTTGGCCCATGCTAAAGCTCTCCCGGACAAGTGGTTTATCAAAAAGGCAATTTTAGATCTGTCAGTGGGATAGGAGCGTGGATTCATCACCAAATGGATGTCGATTTGGTTGAGGAAACCACGACACAATGCTGGGTCACCACTGTAGCGCTGTGGCGGCGTCATGTGAACTACATGAGCGGGAACAGGTACTGGAGTGGGAATGGGTTCGGGCACAGCAGCAGCAGCCTCCTGAACGGCCGGTTGCAAGTGTGCAGTACGAGCCAGAATGGTTTGTAAAGCTTGAGCAAACTGATCCATACGGTGGTCTAAGCCATCCATTCTAGCCTCTTGATTAACTAGGAGCTGTGGTATGTCAGCAGGTTCCATTATGGCCCTGTTGTAATGTCACGATTCGGGGAACCCAACACGCTGGCACACACACACACACACACAAAAGGTGCCGTACCGGACCTTAGAGTGGCCGGGCTAAGCACACACAGAATAGTCAGGAGACAAGCCGAGTAAAGGGGAACCAGAAGACAGAATAACGTGAAACGAGCCGAGGTCAAAGGGTAGGAGAAAGTCACAGAGTCAGATAAACAAGCCAGAGAGTACGTAACCAGAAGCACAAGGTAAGTAGCAATACTAGCAAGCAAAGACCACAACAGGGCAAGGAGGAACAGGAAAGGTAAGTATTTAAACCATCAGGTTAATTCTGATTGGATGATTTCCAATCAGAATTAACAATCACACGTGGGAGATATTTAGACCTCCCACTGTGATTGTGGCACTTTGCCTTTAACGCCGGGTCAGGTGACTGACCCCGGCGTGTATAAACCTGGGCGGTCTCCCAGCGTGCAGCGTCATGCATGCTGCCGCTGGGGGACGTGGAGGGAACGGCGGGCGGCATCCGAGGCTGGAAGGATGCCGCTCGCCGTACCCACGAGGCGGAGGGGACCGCGGACGGCTGGAGGGTGAGTACTGCGAGCGGAGTGCAGCCTCCCCTCGCAGCCGCCCGCGTGAGCCTGACAGGCGGAGCTCGCTCACGACTCCTATCCGAACTCACGAAAGAGGTGTTCGACTTCTGCCTTCCACGCAACATCTCCCTCAAGGCGGAATATCTCCCAGGGGAGTCGAACCTCACAGCAAACTGGTTCTCTCGCCATTGGAGAGATGGCAGCGATTGGATGCTGGACCAAGAGACATTCAATGCCCTCACGCAAATGAGAGGACCCTTCCATCTGGACCTCTTTGCATCCCGCAACAACAGACAAACACCAGACTTCTTCAGCTGGCTCCCAGATCCAGAATGCAAAGCAGTGGATGCTTTCCTACAGGCCTGGCCGCCCTTCGGCACCTACGCATTTCCCCCATTCGCTATGATAGCGAGGACTCTCCAGTATCTGAAGGTATACCAGATTTCTCTGCTTCTGATTACCCCCTATGGCAGAGTCAACCATGGTTCCTGGACCTTCTAGCACTGTCTTATGCAGACCCGCTCTTACTGCCGTCCCATTCGGCACTCCTTACGGATCCGAAGGGGAACCCTCACCCGCTAATACTGGAAGAGAGACTCTCTCTGGTGGCTTGGACTCTTTCCGGGGCACCTGGCAAGTCAGCGAACTATAGCAGACTGCTAGGGACCTCTTATGGGATTCATGGGCACCGGGGACGAGATTATGCTACCTCTCTGCGTGGACATCCTGGTCCGCTTGGTGCCTGGAATGGGACCTCGATCCTCTTACGGCACCTATTCCCACCATCCTGAATTTCCTGTCGTCACTGTTCGCGACAGGAAAATCTTATAGGACTATTAACGTAGTTCCATCAGCGATATCAGCAGCACATACACCTATCCAAGGGATTCCGGCGGGTAAGGATCCTATGGTATGTCGACTACTGAGGGGCATGCGACTAAAACGGCCTCCGGCCCCCAAATACACCCACCTATGGGATGTGGACCTCGTCCTCACCTTCTTAAGAGAATGGCTTCGCCAACTTTCTGCAAAAATGACGATGTTACTTTGCTTAGTTTCCTTTCGTCGGGTATCCGACGTTAAGGCCTTCGAAGTCAACGCCTTTTCGATAGATCCTGAAGGGGTCACCTTCCATGTCTCCAGACGGACCAAATTGAACTCCACCGCCATTTTTTACCCCATCTTCGTTGCGGAACCTCAATTATGCGTGGTAGCAACCTTACGCAGTTACATGACAGCTACCGCTTCTCTTCGCCCGACTCCCTCCGGTCAACTACTGATTTTCTACGTCAAATCCTACAATCCAGTTTCCTCTACCACTCTCGCTAGATGGGTACGCTGGATCTCGTCACTGGCGGGCGTGGATGCCACTTTCGGGGTTTATTCGGTGAGAGGCGCGACTGCTTCTTTGGCCTACGCAGCCGGAGCATCACTATCAGATGTTCTACGCACGGCCGACTGGTCACGTGAATCCACTTTTCGAACCTTCTATTTTAGATCGAACTCCCGTGTGGCATTTTCTTCGTTAAATCAGCGTTAAAAAATGCAAAATACGAAGCCTCCTGTCATGTAATGTAATTGAAGATTATGCTAGCTTTAGTGTACTAATAATCTTAATTTTAATAAAGACAGGAGGCGAGTATTTTCCCACCAATACCCACCCTTTCGGTCTTCTAGTATCTCTTTACTGTTCCTTCTTCTAATTCCTCTATCCTTCTATAGGAAACTAGTCTCTACTCTACCCTCACCATTCCGACTATCCTACGTATATGGTGTATATCTCACATGTCAGGATTATTATACCTTGTTGTACTTTAGAGAGAGTGGTTCCTATTACTAATGTATTGTCACTATAATACTATAGTCTTACGAATATATGCTGTTCAGATGATTCCCATGTTTTCATGGTCTTACGACTAGTACCTGACCTATTCCACATTCTCGTTTCAGTGTAACTCAACATTGAACTTTGGTTATATCTATGTGGATCATCCCAAATTTATCCTAAATCGTTTGGATTGAATCTCCTGTTATAACGGATTACCCAAGTTTACCCTTCATTCCACACGGATTATTCCGATTCGCTTGGATTGACCCTACAGTTACAGACCCAAGACTGGTTTCGTTTCTTTATTGTTTGAACTTTGTCCGTCTGCGGTGTCGCTAGTAGAAAGAGGGGGAGGAGCCTGTTCACTGGGAATACCATACCTCCTACTGTTTTTTGATTGGTTCTTACTATCCTTTTCTTTACTGCTATGGAGTTTAGTAAAGAGAGTTATGCAAAATACTCGCCTCCTGTCTTTATTAAAATTAAGATTATTAGTACACTAAAGCTAGCATGATCTTCAATTTTAACTCTAACACTTGTAAGGAAAAATCCTTCTTAAATCTTAATTTCTTCAGCCCCATAATAGAACAAATTAAACACAACAATTAAATCTAAAAACACAAATCAGAAAAAAACAAACCTGAAATTACACTAATATGTGTTTGCTTTTTGAGGGCTCCGCTTACTATCATTTTAAGGTGGGAAAGACTTGCGTAGGGAATATTTCAGTGCAAAAAGAACTGATTCTTTGTTTATATATTAAAAAAAAAAAACACTGCTTACATCCAAGTGCTGCCATTATGGACAATTAACGCCTGGTTTACTTGCTGGGATTGTGCTACTGCTCTCTTATTTTATGCCCATTGGCATGAATTTCAAAACTTCATTATTATTTTTATTTTTTTATCCAAACTGTGTTTCTTATTATTCTCTAATGTCCTGCAGGAGTCACCTCTGAGCTTGCAAGTACTTTAGACATTCTGCCCACAATAGCATCATTGACTGGGGCTCCTCTACCCAATGTAACACTCGATGGGTATGACCTGGGCAAAGTACTGTTTTCTGGACAACAAGTAAGTGCATAAAGAGAGATGTTATTGATTGGAATTAGTTACCATAGATGAACTGATGGGAAGGCTATTACCCAAATGGTACAAGATGTGTGCAACGTCTTATTTTTATAAAGTGATTGTATGGACCTAAAATTACATTGGTCTGTTGTTTTGCTTTTTAATACTTTTTATGTTACAAACATTTAAGTTAATCCTGACAAATTTGTTATTTAAAATACAAAAGTCGTATTGCATATTTAAGAAGTCTGTACGAATCGGAACTCTTAGTCTAGCCTTGTAATAGACAGGAAAGAATTGTGTACAGGTACAGCTTAAATAAGTAGGTGGGGTGGGAGAGCGAAAAATATATAGGATGTTTCAAACACCCTCACAATACAAGATTGTGCCATTGTGAGGATATTTATGGGGTGATAAATATTATAAATAATATTTAATAATTATCAAATTAATAATTTGTATTATAAAAAATTTATATATTGTCACTGTCCCCTTTGATTAATTTAGAGCTAAGGGCTACCCACTATTTTTAACGCTTATAGACCGTGGGGTACGTTTTATTAGAGGATTTGTGTTTCATACATTAATCACAAACTAATTAGAAAAATATAATTTATTGTGACAATAATAATTATATCAAAATGTAACATGCGTGACAATAATCAGTGAATAATTAGGTATAACATGAGTATACAATATGGCAGTTTAACACTGTTTCCGATAGTTCAATGGCAACCCTTATATCCACATAGATGCAATTTCAACAAGATTTACGACAGGACACTTTCTTTGAAATCCGCTATGCAATTCTTAACACAGAACATCTGAGTCTCACAGGACAGCACACAACATATGGCTGAAATTTTTTTTTTCTGTCTGAACTCAATATAAAATATAAGAAAGCGGTGAATGGGATAAAGTGCTTCAGTAGTGCAGGCTAGCCACTCCAAATAAGGGATCACTCCCAATCCCAAAAGATACACAAATGCAAAAAGGGGTATAGTTCCCAAAACATATACCAAATGGGGGTGCCACAATCACAAAACGTGTATATAGTTACCATACATATACAATGGAGGACAGATAAAAGATAAAGAACATATATGGTGAAGTATTTAATGGCACATAAGATATAAATTAATAGTATGTACACTCACAAAGATGTTGGCACAAAGAGACTTATATCAATTTGTGCAAAAGAGCTTGTCAACCCTTCCTGGGTTAAGTCCCCTTTAAATGCAGATCTGATATTGATGCCTTCAGAGTAAGAGTTCTCCTTCTGAGTATATGTAGAGGATGAACCCGGCAAGGACAGATGGATCAATGTAGAATCTTTGGGGTGACGCTGGAAAGCCTCAACGTGTTTCGTCCTGAGGACTTTCTCAAGAGCTGTAAGAGCTGGGTTTTTTGCCTTTGAATAGAACTTGACAGCTTCTTCCCAGAGTCTGCTTTCTA